AGATACTTATCTCCTATTAAATACCAAAAAGCTGAAGTGGACCTGTGGCTCAAGTGGTATAGCCCTAGACCTGAGCAAAAATGCTCAGGGATAGGGTGCAGGCCCAGAGATCAAGGCTTATGACTGGCAAACAAAAATGGCAAATCAGGAAAAATACTACTGAGAAGGATGAAGTTAGATGAAAGGGAAAGATGAAACAAAGGAATTTGTTTTGTTTAGAAACAAGGTCTTTATTTGGTGACCTTCAAAAGAACTTTCAAAGAGGTGGGAAAATATTTCAGAGGATTGAAGATTGAGTGGTAACAATTACAATGGTTTAATTGTATGTTTTAGCTCTGTTTTCATGAAATCCCTCTGAAATGACAAAGAATAAAACGTCATAAACCCCACAAAGGCAAAGAAAATGGAAAAAAGGAGATGCCAGCAATTAAGAGATTGTCAACAAATGTTTGGATGAATGTGTGGTAACCAACAACAGAACAGAAAAATCTGGACCAGAAAGCCAGCAACATCAAGCTGATTTAATGGCATAAAGTTGAAAGTGTGCATGAAAAATAACTAGACCCCCAGATCCACTAAAAATTGTTGTTTTCCACTTTCTGGCAGCAGATGTAAGGATGTGAGATCTACTTTTTGTGAGTTTTGACATTATACTAAAAGCTATCTTAAAATCCTCAGCTCCCTTTCCCTGCTTGGCTCCCAGAATGCTGGAAAGCAGGCCTGTAACTCTACCTCTAACCAAGAACTGAAAAAAAAAAATTAGTGTTCCACCAAGCGCTAATGGCTCATGCTTGTAATCCTAGCTACTTAGGGGCTGAGATCTGAAGACTGCAGTTCAAAGCCAGCCCAGGCAGGAAAATCTACAAGACTCTTATCTCCAGTTAACCACTAAAAAAGTAGAATTGAAGCTGTGGCTCAAATGGTAAAGGTACCAGCTTTGAGCAGAAAAAGCTAAAAGACACTGTTCAGAACTGAGTTCAAGCCCCAGTACCAGAGCATGTACACACACACACACACACACACACACACACACACACACACACACACACACACACACACACACAGTTCCAAATGTATAATTCTGTACCCACTTTAGTGAGAGCTTTTAGTGATTACAATTTAAAAGGTAGGCTAAAACTTACTAGATATAGGGAATGGAAGGACAGAAACTAAAACTTACAGAAGAAACAGACAATGCAGAGTTTTGAAAAAAAACTTTTTAAAATAAAATATTCTCTGGAAAACAAGCAAATAGTTTGTGGCCATGAAACAACAATAAAATGTTAAAAATAAGCAAAGAGCAAAAAAAAACATATGAGGAAGTGCTCGACATCCCTGGCCATAAAGGAAATGCAAATCAAAACAACTCAGAGATTCCATCTCAACCCAGTCAAGATTGGCCAACACTGTGAATTCAAGCAGCAACAAATGCTAGTTGGGATGTGGGGGAAAGGAACCCTATTGCATTGCTGGTGGGAATGCAAACTAGTACAACCACTCTGGACAGCAGTCTGGAGGTTCCTCAAAAAACTAAACATAAACCAACCATATCACTTTTGGGCATCTACCCAGAACATCACAAGCCAGAATACCATAAAATACTTACACATCCATGTTTATTACTGCATATACACAAACCAAGTTATGGGAACAGCCCAGATGCCCTACAATAGATGAATGGATCAAAAAAAATGCAGTACCTATACACAATGGAATTTTAAAAAGTTAATTTATTTTATTGTTTATATAGAGGTGATGTACAGAGGGATTACAATTATGAGACAGGTAAAGTAAGCCAAGTCAGAGAGACAAATGACACATGTTTTCTCTCATACGCAGAAGCTAGATCTAAAATACCCCAGGGCATATTAAATTATGCAGGACTCTAGGCATTCACACACAGTGAGACCAAACGAGGATACTCTTAGGGGAGGAACTCAAAGAAACAATGCTTCTGTGCCTCTGATCATATAAAATAATATTTATCAAAAGAATTCCAGGAAATGAAAACAAGAGGCTTTTTTCCCTTTTTGCCTTATTTGCTCATTTATGTATTTGGGGAGGGCAGGTAAGGGGACACAGAAATAGAGGGACTAAAGATGAACAAATGCAGCAGTGGGATTCAGTAGGTACTATGTTGAAAATGAACTATATACAACCTGCGTGTGGGGATGGGTGAGAAAAACTAAAAGAGAGTGAAGGAAGGGGTGATACTGTCCAAAAAGAAATGTACTCATTAACTGACTTATGAAATGGTAACTCCTTTGTACATCACCTTTATAATAGTAATTGTATTTTATTTAACTAATTAATTATTTTGGCCAGTCGTGGGACTTGAACTCAGGGCCTGGGTACTGTTCCTGAGCTTTTGTGCCACAGCTTTTTGGTGGTTAATTGGAGATAAGAGTCTCATGGATTTTTTTTCCTGACTGGGTTGGTTTCAAACTATGATCCTCAGATCTCAGCCTCCTGAGTAGCTAGGATTATAGACAACAGCGCCCGGCTATAATAACAATTTTTATAAAATGAAAAATAACCCAAAGATCGATAAAAGACTTGTAAATAAAAATATAAATGATGAAATTGAGATTCTGCTAGAAAGAGTGAATGAAAAACTTAAGAAAGTATCTTAGATACTTTCTTAAAACAAAAAGACCAAGTTATAGGATACAAAAGATTTTTAATATTAGAGGAGAAACCTAGGATATTCCATATCTGACTAGAGTTCCAGAGAGGAAGAAGAAAGAATAAAGGAAGAAATATTAATAAATAGTATTAGAAAAAAATCCAGAACTAGGCTACTAGTCTTCACATTGGAAATGCTTAGACCATCCTACCAAGAGGGATGCATTAACAATGATGCACAACCCAGGCAAATCTTGGTAAAAATTTGTAAAAAATAAGTTTAAGGTAAGATCTTAAAAAGTTATTGATTTTGAAGGATACTATTTAAAAAGATGAAAGATAAGAAATGTTGACAAGGATACAGAGAAATGGAACCCCTTTACATTCTCACCAATGTAAATTAGTATAACTACTGTAGCAAACTACACAGATTACTCCAAAAAAAGAAAAATATAAATAGCATATGATTTAACAATCTCACTTCCCAGAACATATCTAAAGGACTTGAAATCAATGTCAAAGAGATATGTATACTCTGATCGTCATTACAGTATTATTCATAATAGTTAAGACACATAATCAATCTATATTTCTGTCAATAGATGAATGAATAAATAAAATACAGTGTCCATATAAAATGGAATATTTCAACTTTAAAAAGAACCAAATCCTGTCATTTATGACAGCATGGATGAACCTGGAGGAGGACATCATGCTAAAAGAAATATGCCGGGCACAGAAAAGCAAATACTATACAACCTCATGTTTAAGAAATGTTAAAAGTCAAGCTCATAGAAGTAGAGAGCAGAACAGTGGTTAGCAGAAGCTTCTGGAAATGGAGATGTGGCTCAAGTGGTACACTGCCGGCCTAGAAGTGAAAGCTTGGGGCTCTGAGTTCAAGCCTGAGAATGAACACACACATATAGAAAGATATTCAGTCTTCCTCTAGCTTTTTGAATTTATGGTTAAAATTATAATTGTAGTGATGGGGTTTTTTTTTTTGGGTCCGGTCGTGGGGCCTGAACTCTGGGCCTGGGCACTGTCCCTCAGCTCTAGGTTAGCTCTCTACCACTTGAGCCACAGCACCACTTCCGGCTTTTTTCTTTATGTGGTGCTGAGGAATCAAACCAAGGGCCTCAGGCATGCAAGGCAAGCGCTCTACCACTGAGCCACCTTCCCAGCCCTGTAGTGATGTTTTTGTCTACTAATTCTAATGCTTTTACTACTCATGGGTTGTATTTTCTAGATTCTTTGCACATCTGCTAATTTTTTATTGGATGCTAGGCTCTGTAAATTTTCTTTCATTTTTTGCTATATTTTGAGTTGGAATCTTATCACTGATAAAAGGGCAATGGGCAAAGGAATTGAACAGATTGAAAGGAGAGTTCCTGAAGTGAGCTAAAAATAAAAAGTGAAGATAGGAGGTAGCAGGTAGGTAGGCAGGACTTACAGGTCTCAATAAAGTTAAAGATGGATGCATTTGAATAAAAATATTTACAAGCATGGAGATTGTTCAAAAGAAGGATGCCTTAGTTTGTGATTTCACTGAAATTCTGAGTGATGATACGGCTCTGGATGTCGTTCATTGGAAGTGGGTGGATGAAGTGATGCACAGGTAAGAGTCTCTGGAGGAAAGGATGTCTAGGAGGTTAGATGGCTAGAGCATTATATAAGTCAGCCACGCAGGTGCTGTTGTAGAAGCAATAAGAAAAAGATCTGAGCCTGGATCCCAAGTCTTCAATGAATGAGAGGGAGCTATAAAGGAGGTCAAATATGGCCTAATGATCTGGTTTAGTACCTAGAGGCCTTGGTAATTGTACTAAACAATGCACTTTTAGACCATGAATTCTTTGCCAATGGCTTATGGATGGGCTCCTAAGAATACACAAGTCCTCTGAAGCTTCTGTACAAAATTATCTATTTTCTACCTAACAAATAAGGCTTTTGACTTTCATCAGATTTTCAAAGTAATGAGTGACAAAATAAAAGTCAAAGAATTGCTGTTGTAAAGGATTTATGTAAAGAACTAAATGAGAGAAACAATAACTGCACAAAAGCTTAGGAAAGGCACAATCTATCAATGTCACAATAAGTGTTTTTTCCTACACCATAACCATTTAAAGAGCTCAAGCCCTAAGTAACAGCAGGAGTAAAGACCTCATGTTGGGCTATGCACTAAAATAACTGGTAGGCTGAAAAGATGAATAGAATGGTCCAGAAACCCACAGAGTAATATAGCACTTGGGCTCTATAATCACCTAGCTGGTAAAATCATCAGGTGGCAGCTTCTACACACATGCTTGAACAGAATTCTTTCACTTGAAGTCAACCCCTTTCATAAGATCAGGCACTTCCAAAGAATATAGGAAACCTACCTCTCAGCAATATTTTTTGCAGACTGTAGAAACCGTGCCTGGTCATTTTCTTTCAGAATATGTTCGGCTTGGTTGATGAGGACTGTTGACCTCTCAAGACACTGACGACAATTAGCCACCTGCTGTGCCAACTTTCTCAGTTTCATAACCTTAAAGGAATTAGTAAAGGAAAAAAAAAGATAAAAAATACAGTGCTTAATTAAAAACAATAAAACACCATGAAGGAGATCTGCTGCAATGATTCTAAAAATAAGGCTTCTTAGTATCCCACAGTCCCTGTATTAACCTTTTAACTTCTTTTTTTTTTTTTTTTTTTTGTCGGTTGTGGGGCCTGAACTCTGGGCTTGGGCACTGTCCCTGCGCTCTTCAGCTCAAGGCGAGCTCTCTACCACTTGAGCCACAGCACCACTTCCGGTTTTCTAGTGGTTTATTGGAGATAAGAGTCTCATGGACGTTCCTGCCTGGGCTGGCTTTGAACCGCGATCCTCAGATCTCAGCCTCTGAGTAGCTAGGATTACAGGCGTGAGCCACCAGCGCCGGGCCCTTTTAACTTCTTGATGTACCCGCTAAGTCTCTCCTGCCAACTTTTCCTTCTCCAACTTATAACTCACTCACTTACATTGGACAGTCATATATGCTCAGTTATCTTTGTATTAATAATATTAATTTTGTTATGAAAGCAATATATATTCACTATATAGAGCGCTTGCCTTGCATGCCTGAGGCCCTGGGTTCGATTCCTCAGCACCACATAAGTAAAAAGAAAAAAGCCGGAAGTGGCACTGTGGCTCAAGTGGTAGAGTGCTAGCCTTGAGCTGAAGAGCTGAGGGACAGTGCCCAGGCCCAGAGTTCAGGCCCCACGACCGGACCCCCCCCAAAAAAAAAAGAAAATTTGAAAAAAACAAAATTCTACCCACCAGAGATCACTATTGCTTACATCTTACTGTCCATACATTTAACAAAAAGTACCTTATTTTTCTTTGTGAGTATCTATACCACCATGTATATATGTTTGTAAGTCTCTTTATTCATAATGCTGTGTTTCCAAATCTGTTTCCTTGGAAATTTCAATTTCTGTGTTAGCTGGAAGTACCCAGCATGGTATAGAGTGCTGTTCATCAAACCAGGTTCTCATAAAGTTTCACACTGTACCCACAGCATGAACTTATAATCACTAACTTTGACCAGCAGGCCAACAAACCTAAAACATTATAGCTGCATGGAGGCTCATATCTGACCTTTTGGATCACAATTCTTCAGCTTTCCAGTTATTAACTTCTATAACCCTGGCCCATATTTAATATCTACCATCATTTTTTTCTTTTTCCTCTTTCTTTCTTGCTTTCGTTCTTTCTTTCTTTTTTTGTCAGTAGTGGGGCTTAAACTATGGGCCTGGGCACACTTGAGCCACAGTACCACTTCTGGCTTTTTTTCTGCTTATGTGGTGCTGAGGAATCGAACCCAGGGCCTCATGCATGAAAGGCAAGCACTCTACCAATGAGCCACCTTCCCAGCCCTCCCCCCTTTTTTAATGATGGCTAATACAACAGCAAAACACCCAAATTCTAAGTGTACAAATAAAGGAATACTTCCATATTCATCTGTCCATGTAACCAACAACCAGGTCAAAATTTAGAATGTTTCCATTGAATTGTCATCATTTTTATTGGGTTCATAACACTAGGCCAAACTCTGCTTCTTCCCTCCTCCCTACAACTCAATTCTTCTGATTTCATGATCCAAGTTCAAACTGTAATCATCAGGATCAAACTCTGCCATCTGTGAAAAGTTAGGTCTTCCTTGGCCTCACTGAAATGTCATGCTTTACCTTTGTCTCTTTGATTTTCACAGCAATCATTTGCTTCCTTTGCTGGATGATCTCTACCAACTCATCACATTCTTCCATAAGTTTTGCCTCGTGCATAGCAGTATTCACCTGCCAAGAAAGTCCAGGGTATTACACAGTGATTGTTGCCTTTGTCCCCTGCTGACTCTTAAAAGGTTTGGACTGACAGCTAAACATGCACAACTTCTTCCATACCTCCCTCGATAAGATCCACTCCTAGAAGAAGAGTAGAGATGATGATATTAATGATGCAAGGGCATTGAAGCACCACAGATAGGAAGCTCTCCGGACCTCTGGTAGATCATGATGGTTAATGGAAGGCTGGGCAGAAGGACAGATGAGATGGGGGCATGTTATTCCCACTGTGCAATTCCCTTTACTCCAGCACCCTGTCCTGCTGTTCATTTGAAAAGAGGGTAAGGAGATTTACGTATATCAGGAAGAGAGCACCCTCCTCCACAAACACAATAATAATATTGTGACAACATATTTCTAACTGTCCTAACAAAAATGTACTCCATTTTCCTTGTTATTTCCTAATTTTAAATACATGAATGTGCAGATATATTTTCCCACTAGTTATATAAATGTGTAGGTATTTTTTCATGTAGTTGTTATATTTTACTGGTATTTCCTCACCTGGTATGTCTTTATTGGTATCTTTGTTCAGTGTCTGACTATCTTTCCTATTTTGTAATACTACCTATATAAAATATCTCTACTGCAAAGTCAAAGTAAAAGATTCTATTCGTCATTGCTGGTCCATGGACTGATTTCTCCCATATCTCCCTTAGTTATTGATAATCCATGGTACAGAGGCCCCAGAAAGGGGCTAAAATGAAAGAAACAAATCTTTAGGCTTCCTAAATATAAAGGGGAAAGAAGGCAAGGACTTAGCATACCAGGCATTTTATAGATACAATTAAATTTTCTTTATAGCTTTATGATACAGCAGTCATGTTTTGTTTTGTTGGCACTAGGGTTTAAACTCAGGGCCTTGTACTTTTGCTAAGCTTGCTTGCTCACAGCAGGCAATCTACCACTTGAATCACACTTCCAGTCAGTTTTTCCTGGTTACTCGGAGATAGAGTCTCATAGGTATTTTTGCCCTTTCTGGCCTTGAATTGCAATCCTCCAGGTTTCAGCCTCCTGAGTAGATAGAATTAGTCATGAGCCACTGGCACCTTTATTCTTATTTCAAGGACAGGGAAATTGAGGTTCTGAGAATTTCAGTGCCTTGCTTCAAGTCATATAGCTGGATAAATGGTAAAACTATAATTCAAACTGAGTTGTGTTAGGTGAAACCCCTAGGCTGGCTGGGGAGACAGATAAGGTTTCAGTTTTATTTCAGCAGCACATAGAGCAGTCACATAGAGAAGCACCACAGTCCCAAGAGTCTATTCAAGGACCACTTGAGCAGAGCTCTAGAAGGCTGAGACATAGAGAATGGATTGCTTGAACTCATTCAAACTCAAGGGGCTGAATGCGTCATTAGTAGGAGAGGGCTGCATTTTCAGCCACTATCTCTCTTCACAGATGTCCTGTACATATTTTAACTCCAGCAAAATGTCCATCTCTGGACCAAGATAGACATATTATCATCTCAAGGAATTCTCACTCATCTGAGAATAAAAGAAGTATCTAGTTCTCCCTGGGCCATTGCTTAGAGTACTTGTAAACACAGTTTCTTTTTCAGGTTGCTACTTGTGTGTACTACACATGGTATACTACCTTGTTCCCTGTAATTTACTCCTTAGACTAACCTTTACACAGCACTTATTGTATGGTAGTCATTACTCTCATCAATTTATATATTCTAGTTCTCCCAATCCTCAAAACAATCCCTTGAAGAAGGAATCCTTTCTCCCATTTGATAGATAACTTAGACACAGAGATGAAGTAACTTGTTCCGGGCTACATAGCTAGTAGTGATAGAGATGAGATTTGGATCCAGGGAGTATAACAGGAGGGTCCACATTTTACCAATTACATATACTGCCTCTCTAGAAAATGTACCTGTCTTCCATTTCATCATCTCTTTATTCTGACATCCCTTTACCTTTAGTCAATTCAGGCTGTTGTTTTCCCATAGAACTACATGTCCCATATGTTTGCCTGAGATTATCCTTTTACTCAGAAAGGCATTTGCTCATTTGTTGAACAATCTTTTCCTTACCTTTCAAGGACCTACTCACTAATCATCATGTCTTTAACTTCTCAATCTTCTGTTCCCTTATTTGTATCTCCAAAGCATCTCCTTTGAAATAGTGTTTACTTCCTTACATCACAATAATATGTTAATCTGTCTTCCTCACTTAAACATAAGTTCTAGAGGGCTGGGAAGGTAGCTCAGTGGTAGAGCGCTTGCCTTGCATGCCTGAGGCCCTGGGTTCGATTCCTCAGCACCACATAAGCAAAAAGAAAAAAGCCGGAAGTGGCGCTGTGGCTCAAGTGGTAAAGCGCTAGCCTTGAGCTGAAGAGCTCAAGAGGCCCAGAGTTCAGGCCCCACGACCGGACCAAAAAAAAAAAAAAAAAACGTAAGTTCTAGAGAACTCTTCCTCTCTCTCTCTCTGGAGAGACTGTGTCTTATTTGACTTTGCCTATGCCTTGCATAGTGACTGGAACACAGTATATGTTAAGTAAATATTTTTTGCATAGTATTGAATGGTGAAAACATCTTTTACTGCTTCCTAGATATGTCCACTGGGTTAAAGTTCCTATAAATCATTGTACACCATATCTAAAAACAAACTTTATTCTCTTCATATCTGCTCTTCACCTCTGGTTTACTATTTTTTTCAATGCTACTACTATTATTACTACAGTTCCTCAGGTTCAGTATCACTTTGATTGCTTCTCCCTCAGTAGCCAAATAAATTCATGGTAATTCCAAAGTTCTTCCCTTCTTTCTTTTTTGATCTTAGTAAAGCTCTTCTGGTAATAAAATGAAGATCTAAGCCAGGAAACAACATACTGATGTTCTTACCATACTTTGGACTTATATTATAAAAAGCTTTCCTTTATTCCTCTCCCAAGTTCTAGAATTTTAACTTTGTCATGCATCTGTACAATTCTTCCTTGGCCCAGAAGCCCAGAAAAATCATCATCATCTTCATCAGAAAATGTATTAAGCATCTTTGTGTGTGATGCATTATGCTGAGGCCCTGACCTCATCAATTTGCAATCTAGATGGCGAGGAGCTATATACATATGAAACAAGCCAGGCAAGGTAGCATAAATTAAATAGTAATTGAGTCATGTAGACTATAATCACAAAAATTGAAATGAAAGATATTATGGGCAAGCGGAAAATAGATACATGGATGAAATCAGCACTTGTATTGAACTTTAAAGATGTAATACGACTTAGATTTCAAAGGTAGAAGTGAGAGAAATTTCAAGCCAAGCAATAAGGTTTGAAAAAGATGTCACATGGTCCAACTGTGTATTTGATAGGCATTATGATATCTTTGAAAAACATTTTTTAGTCTACGGCCATACCATCCTGAACGCGCCCAATCTCGTCTGAAAAACATTTTTTAAAGTTTAGCATATACTGACTGTCTAAAGGTGTTTCAGTGATATTTCCATGCATATATGCAATGTATTTGTGTGGTGTGTGTGTGTGTGTGTGTGTGTGTGTGTGTCTGCTGGTAGAAGGGCTTGAACTCAGGACCTGGACACTGTCCCTTAATTTCTTTTCTCAAGTCCGGTGCTCTACCACTTGAGCCATAGCCCCACTTCAGGCTTTTTGCTGGTTAATTGGAGATAAGAGTCTCAAGGAATTTTCTGCCGGAGCTGGCAGATCTCAGCCTCCTGAATAGCTAAGACTACAGGTATGAGTCACTGGTGTCCAGCTTGCATGTAATGTATTTTAATTAAAAATATTGTTGGGTGGAAAGAAGGTAAGTACAGGGGAAGTTTACCACACAACCTTTTTTAAAGAAGAGGAACTAGGATTGATCTGATATTAGTAAGCTTGAGGACAATTTAGGAGGCTATTGTAATGTGATTCAGAACCTAGACAAGGAAAATAAGAAGAACAAAAAGAAACAGTTAAATAAAAGGAGTCCTCCCTTGCTCAAAAATCAACTACACATTAAGCTCCACAAAGAGAAGTGTTCCTCCCACTGAACTGGAAGAGTGCCTTCTACAAAAAACACTTGTGAAACATTTGCTGATTGACTTGGCACCATAAAATATCAAAATAAGAATGGTAAGCCTAAAAAAAAAAAAAGAATAGTAAGCCTTAGAAACTATGCTGTAGTGATGTATTTTATTACTATATTTTTATTATATGTAAGTACATGTAAAAAGGGGGTTTTATATGCTTCTTGGACAGTACCCGGCCAAGCAATGAAACAAGGACCCACGACTACTTCGCCCCTTTACAGCAGGAAGTAGCTCGAAAGAAACAACCTCTGCCCATATCCCTGGCCTGGTACTCCCTATTTTTATTAAACAACAGAGTGGGGAATGTTAGTATTATGCTCACCTTTGGTCCTCAGCTTCACCCAGACCTGAGACCCTCTCATCCCTGGAGTTCCTGGCATACAGCTGGTCTCTCTCTGCCCAGACCCACCTAAAACCCCATCTACCTCACTTCCTTCCCTCAGACCCTCCTGCTACCTGGATGGTGAAGGATGCCATGTGCTCCCTCTTGGGGGAAATGTGGCTCCTCTAATAAACCTTATAATAATCTTTAAAAAAAAGGGGGGGAGGGTTAAGACTACAACACATTTGGATCAATGTCACCTCTTTAATCATTCTCCTCCATTCCTCTCCAACCTACCCAACCCCTCTGTAGTGATGTAGAGAAAATACACGTTGAAGTGTGGGAGCCAGAGTGGGAAGGGGGTTGCAGACAGTCATATCTGGGGAGATAAAACAACCAGGTAGAACAAGTAGAGCGGAAAGTTGGCTGAAGAGGCAAAAATCCCTAGCTAAAGGTAAAACAGTGACATTAAAATCTTTCCATGTCAAGAAGCAGCCTGAAAGAATAGAGTCTTGAAGTGTTTTGTGAATAAGAAATACTTCAGGGGAAAACTGTCTTCATGATGTAAGTAAAACAACTCAAATTGCTTGGAAGG